TTCTAAAGCATTACATCTCATCATGGGGAATATACCTTGTGATCTCCAGTGACAGAGGTACCCACTTTACTGGACAAATTGTTCAAAAACTGGCAAAGTACTACTCTATCAGACAAGCACTGCACTGTGCGTGACACCCAGGAGCAGCAGAGAGACGAAACAGGATTTTAAAGAACAAACTTGCTAAAATATGTAAGGACTCTGGCTTAACTTGGGTAGAAGCACTCCCGATTGCCCTAATGAGCATGAGAGCCACTCCTAATCGGAAAATTGGACTCAGTCCAAATGAAATTGCATGTGGCCGACCTATGAGATTGTTAAGCAGCCCAGAAATTGACCTGGCTGATGTCACACTTATTAAAGGAAGCACAGTCAAGTATTGTCAGGAACTTATGAGGTGTGTATAGTCTTATCATTCACTGGTTAAGGACGCCTTCCAGGAGGCCCCGACTGAGCCGCGCCATAAACTACAACCAGGAGACTGGATTTGCGTGAAAGTTCACCAGCGAAAGACTGCCCTAGAACCCAAGTGAAAGGGTCCCTACCAAGCCCTTCTAACCCCCCATACTGCTGTAAAGTGCAAGGGATTGCCCGCCTGGATTCACGCGTCCCACTGCAAACCGGTTCCAGCCCCTACAGAGGTTGGCCCCACTAAGGAGCACCACAGACCTGGTACCAGAGACCCAGGTCCAGAAGTAGATGGGGATCAGCCCAGGCTTGGTACCGGCAATCCAGACCCAGAAGCAGACGATCCTGAGAGACTGAGGCCAAGGTACCAGCTGCGGCCCAGAAGAACTTGCCAGCGATAGGTGAAGCAAACTATGAAGTCCTGAAGAACAGCCAGCATGAGGCTGGACAAACAATTCATGTTGAGCTTATGCTTAATCTTGGATTTAATACCTAGCAGTTATAACCTATATGGTTCAAATGTGTTTATGCTTTTAATGAACCAAGTTTCCCAAGAATTTAATTCCACGGGTTGCTGAATATGTGCTCACAGTCCTGTACATTCAGAAGGAGGTATCCCAATGATTCCAGTCCCACCAAACAACACTCAACTATGGCACACTGTTTAGTGAACTAAACCCAAATGATACTTGGCAGGATAAAGGGTTTACTAACCCAGGGTATATCCGCCTAGCCTTGACCCCAATTGGAAAGTACTGCTGGACATGTAATGGTTCAGGAGCCAGGGTGGAAAAAAAGCCAAAACCAAATGGCTCTAGACTATGTCCTAGCTAGTAAGGGCAGGGTTTGTGCCTTAGTGGGAAAAGAATGCTGTGTGTATATTTCTGACAACAGCAAGGAAGTAGAGGAAGATGTCTCAGAGACTGAAAAAACGGTGGAAAGCCTAAGACAGGAGAAAAGCTGGACCCTCTGAGGTTGGTGGAAAGGCTGGTTTGGACATGTCGGAATTTGGATTTTGCAAGGTGTAGTTTAGCTATATTCTTTTGTGTTTATTTTTGTTTCTTGTTGATCAAATGCTGTATTTCTTGCATTCTGAAAAACACAAGACAGACCCTTACTAAAGGGAATGTGGAACTCATAATGTTAAAATATGATGAGCAAGAAAGGAACAAGAGATGTACATAAATGCTTTGATGGAAATGGAGGCATGAAATGATTTCAAGGTTAGCCTTTAAAAGGCTAAAAGGGGGGAGTTGTAGAAACTGTAGAAACCATTTCATATTTAGCTAGAAGCCACTTCATATAACAGAAGCCATTTAAGTTTCTCGCTTCTGCACGTACACTAGAAAGTTAACTGACCTTCACCAATGTGAGAAAGGCCAGGAGGATGGGCTGTTGGAATGTGTTAATGAACTATTTTGAGCTGAAGCTCAAACTCCCTAAAAAAACCTGTTTCTTTCTGTGCTGATAACAATTTCTCTTTGAAGTTTGTTTTGATGGAATGCCCTGGCATCAGACTTGTTTGGTTAAAGGTATAAAATACTAGGATTGATAGTATTAGCAAGTTTTACTGGGCCCGGCTCTGTCGGGACCAAGTTTGGCTCACTTGGCTTTAATGATCAATAAAGCTGTTTGTTAAGCCGCCTAAAACTTAGTGAAGCCTTTGCTTTGACAATTGGTATTGTAATATATTCCTAATGCTATATTACTTCTTGTTCAATCATGGAATTTCTATTCATAGAGATGCTATAGTATAATTTGAGTCACTGATTATTAATCAGTCTTCTTCACTCCACAAACTAGCCTATCCTCCAAGACTTCTCAGAGATAACTGCTAATGGTCCCAAGATTTCTTCAACTAGTTCCTTCAAGTATCCTAGGATAAATTTTGTCAGGCCCTATCTTGAATACATATAACTTGTCTAAATCATAGAATCATAGAACACTAGAACTAGAAGGAACCTCGAGAGGTCATCGAGTCCAGTCCCCTGCCCTTATGGCAGGACCCAGCACCGTCTAGATCATGCCTGATAGATGTCTAACCTGTTCTTAAATATCTCCAGAGATGGAGATTCTACAACCTCCCTAGGCAACTTATTCCAGTGTTTAACCACCCTGACAGGTAGGGAATTTTTCCTAATGTCCAACCTAAACCTCCCTTGCTGCAGTTTAAGCCCATTGCTTCTTGTCCTATCCTCAGAGGCTAATATTCTGTAAACTGTTCTGTCCTTATTTTGGCTTACATTCCTTCTCCCCCTTACTGTTAATAATAATGTTATTGAGTATCTGGTCACCATCAGCCTTTTTAATGAAGACTGAAGCAAAATAGGCATTAAACACTCAGCCTTCTTGATGTCATTAAATATTAGCTCTGCTTTCTCACTAAGTAAAGGACTATTCTTGGGTGAATTCTGTGTCACTGTGCAGGTGCAGAATTCATCTCTTGCACAGATTTTTTTTTCCTCAGCAGAAATGACATTCTGCCAGAGAGATACCGCAGCTGTGCCCTTCACCCACCAGGAGCTGCTGGACTTCCAGAACAGAGAGCAATTTCTCTAGAGCAGAAGTAGACCCTGCTGCTGATAGGTTTGAGAAGAGGCTGTATTCCTCATAGTGTCCTGCCCATTAAGCTAGGACAGGAGCTAAGTCCCCTGTAAGCTGCACAGCAGGGCAGCTGCACAGGTGCTTAATGAGCTTTGCCCAGAGGCTTTGGGCTGCTGCTTCTGGGTGACTTGCTTCCATCTGGGCTGCAGACAGCAAGAGCCAGACTGTCTCAGCACAGTACGCCTAGCTGGGCTGGGGTAGGCTGTATAGGGTGGTGCCAACATTTCAGGTGGGTTAAAAGCTTTTAGGCTGCTTTGGAATACTGGAACAAAAGGCCGCACTCATGACATTTGCATGATTACATTTCAAACAAAGTTTACATAGGTGTTAAAGGCTTATGGTAAGAAAAAAAGGATTCTTTCAACAGAAATTTGTTTAGTGTTGTAGATATCTGCAAACCTGATCTTAAATTATTTTTTTAAATCCCGTGTTATTAGTTAATACATAGTAAATTGTTAAAACTGGAAGGACTTTACCATGGATTCTGTTTAATTTGTTTGGCCTTTCAATTGGAGTTGAATTCCAGATAAGGGCTCTGGGGCTTTTACTCTTTGAGTTAGTGACACATACAAGGTGAAAATTTCAAACTAGGACTTTTACCTGTTTTCACTTGGATAGCATGGATCCTAAACATTCCCAGGCAAAAGCTTATAAGTCTGAGTGAATGCCTTTTACTCTTCTTTCCTCTGTCAGTAAATATTATTTTAAGTATTTTCATGCAAAGCATGACTATTTCTAGTTGATTCATAGATTTGTTTAGCATCTTAAAGCTATGCATATTTTTTATACTTTTACGTAATGACCATGTCTTTAATTTATTTATATAGCTATTTGCAATATGCCCCATTTTGATATGTTTACTAGCTTGAGTTTTTAGAAAGGACGATAATACATGTACTCCAAGAGTAGCACTAATTTTCTTTATTTGAATTCATATTAAATGAACAGCTTAAGCACTGCTCCTTGTTAATTATTCTTTATCTTCCATAGCTATGGACTATTTAAAATATATGTTTATACCTAGATTTGTTGTTTGTAATGGGACACACTGCATATTCACATACAATCTCAATATTGGTGATGCTAATAAGAAATTTCAGCCTGCCCAAAATAAAATTCAGCCCACCCAGGGATGGAAAATGTTAGAGGGAACACTGGTCAGGAGGCATGGGATATGGGGGAAGGGACAGCATGGGGCACATGGGACTGTTGGGGGAGTGCAGGAACACATGAGGATGGGGGCAGACATTCCTTACTGAATGAGAGCAGCTAGGGGTCAGCCAGTGTCCGTATGGGACAGACTAACAATCTCCCATTCCCCACCTTCCCCCCCCCAAAAAAGCAGTTCCTTCTCAGCAATTACTTCCTTCTACCTCAGCTCCTCTGTTACTGCCGCAAGCCTTTACACTACTTCTGAAGGGTGATGTAAATAAGTTTCTGTACTGTTGTCTAAATTAATAATTACTCCTTGGTAAGTATATTAATACAGAAATCTATTTCTCAAGAAAATCTGAATCTTTTTGGTTGTCTGTATTGTTAAAGACATACTTACAGACAGGTGTTTTGAAATAAAATTACCAAAATAATTGAAACTGGTGTGATCATATTATTTTGACCAATAAAATATGCAGAATTGAAATTCTTGGTGCAGAATTCCCTCAGAATTCTCCTTTGTCCTTCTCTTGCTCCTAATGTATTTCAAGAATTTCTTATTGCCTTTTGTGTCCCTTGCTATGTGCTTAGTCTTTCTGATTTTAGCCCTACACAGTTATGTTATTCTTTAGTACCCCCCATTAGCAGTTTAGCCAAGTTTCCATTTTTTGTCAGATCCCTTCTTGATTTTTCAGGTCATTAAAGGAGTACCTGATGCAGCCATAATGGCCTCTGACTGTTCTTCTTTCCTTTGCATTGTGATAGTTTGCAGTACCTCCTTAAACAAAAAGAAGTTAACAGCTGCAAATTGTTTTTGCTGTGTATCCTCTACTTACCCAATACTTCAAGTACAATTTGTTTTCGTTTGAAACCGGCAGTTCCATCATCAAGCAGAAACTCCACTTCATACCCTGCAGCATCATCAGTGTTTAACATTTTGATGGTCAAATTGCCAGAAGATGTCTCAAGCTTTCCTCTCGTTGTTAATGTAGAGAAATATACAGGAAGCCCTTTACCTTCCCATTCAGCCACTTTATTTTTCTTTTTCAGCCAGGTTATTTCTCTTATGGTTCCATTAACTTTTGGTGAAAGAGTAACATCTTCTCCCACAATGGCAAAGACAGACTCTTGCGACCAGACGCACACTATGAAAAAAAAGTTTAATCAGTCACCAGTTTGAGTCATTTTATATCTATGATGTACATATTACACACAAAAACTATGGTAAAAGAATATTCAGACTACAAAGTCAAGCACACAAGTTTGCAAATAGTCATATTAAGGTTTAATTCAGCCTCCTTGTACATACTCATTACATGACGTCTCCATTTCCCTCCCCAATTTGCACTCTCCTTTGCAACTAGCCTTCAACTCGTCCCAGGTTCTTGTCCTGATCAAGTCTTTTAAAAGACAGACAGTTCAGCTTTTGGCCTTTCTACATTCAAATCAAGCATCATGCTCCTCCATGCTGCCTGGGTGCCAACAATGGGATATTGAGAGCACAGAAGAGAGAGACTTCCTGTTCTCAGTTCGGGTATGTCTACACTACGGCACTAATTCGAACTAACTTAATTCGAATTAGTTAATTTGAACTAAGCTAATTCGAACTAGTGCATCTAGACCTAAAAACTAATTCGAATTAGCGTTTTGCTAATTCGAAAGAGCATGTCCACATTGAGTGGACCCTGAACCGAAGTTAAGGCTGGCCGGAACCAGTGCCGGCAGGGCATCAGGTTAGGACTTAGAGTGCGGAGCTGCTGCCTCAGACTAGCTGAGGGCTGTGCTTAAAGGGACCTGACCCCCACCCCGGACAGACAGTTCTCAGGGTTCCCCGCTTGCTTGTCTAACTCGATGAGGGACAGCAAAGCAGTCCTGTCTTGGAGTGCCCACACTCAGCACATCACAGCACTCGGCCATCAGCCCAGCTGCACTTGCCACAGGCTGCAATCCGGGGGGGGGGGGGGGGGGGGAGGAAGTATCCCATACATTTTAATCTAGTTAAGACAACTTTCCAAGACTGAAAGTTGTATTGTTTTAAGGGAAGAAAAATAATTAATGGGGCCTCAAATTATACTGTTCTGTGTCAAAGATAAAAATATATGCATATATGTTCTAAAAAAAAGAAATTAAAAAAATAAAAAGCATACATCTTGGAAATAGCTCATATTACATACAGGATTGGAAGGCTATATACACTATTGTAACAGATTTCCTCAGAGGGGAAATATGTGTCCTTATTGTGTACATTTTCTGCCATGTCCTGTTGGTTACAGCAGCAGACATAACTTCTTCAAATATCCCCACCCCATCTGTACCCCAAACAAAAGTACAGTGAAACCTGTGGAAGAGACCACCTTTATTAATTGTTTGCAGTGCTGTAGCCATGTTGGTCCCAGGTTATGAGAGAGACAAGGTGGGTGAGTTTGCCATTCCCGGACTTGAAGAGAAGTTCTGTGTAGCTTGAAGGACTGTCTTCTTCACCCACAGAAGCTGGTCCAATGTGTTACCTCACCATCCTGGTCTCTCTCACCTTTATTAGGCAATTTCCATTTTAGGAGACTACCCCCAAAGTTTTAGGCTCAACTGTGTTCTCACGTACACCAACGTTACCCTAGTGGTGATTCCATTAATGTCAGTGGAATAACTTTTGATTTACACTGGAGACACCAGCATGAGAACAGAATCAGATCCCTCAAGTATAGTCTGCATCACCTTTATTTCAATAAGTCCACCTGTCTGAAGTGACTAATTTTTGTTGGTGCCTTACAGCAGGTTTCACTGCAGACAAAATGTAAAGTTTAAACCAAGGTCTAAAGTGAGGTCCAGGTTATTCTAAAAGTCTCCTACCTGAATTATGGACATCCGGCTCGGGGGAGCCTCGTTGGCGTTAGTCCCTTGCCCTGTGAAGCTGGTGTGGCAGCCCACATGTCCCTGGGGCACAGTCAGGTTGTTGGAGGCAGGTTTCAGATACATCACCTCAGACCTGGGTGAGCTGTACACCATCACCATCACTTGTGTACCATCACTTGTGTATATAAACGTGTATAAGGGTTAAGTAGTGATAGGAATAAGTAGTTAGAAGCAAACAACGTTGTTTATCTTTTCTTTATTTTTTTTATTATCTTTACAATAAATGTGGCTTTTTGCCTTATCCCCCTTATAAGATCCTGCTTGCTTTTATTTGGTACAACATGTGTTCAAAAATAGAAACTCTCTTTATTTAACAAAACTGGGGGGGGGAGGGGATTAAGCTCTTGGGAGACTGGGAGAAGGAGGTGGGAGAGGGGAAAAAAGAGGGTGGGAGAGGGGAAGGGGAAACTGGGAGGAAGGAGCTGGAAGGAAGAAACCAGAGGAAGGAGGAGGGAAAGTATAAACTATGGTACGCCATATCTTCAGTACTGTGTACAGATGTGATCTCCTCACCTCAAAAAAGATATTTTGGCCTTGGAAAGGATTCAGAAAAGGGCAACTAAAATGATCAGGGGTCTGGAACAGGTCCCATATGAAGAGAGGCTAAAGAGACTGGGACTTTTCAGCTTAGAAAAGAGGAGACTGAGGGGGGATATGATAGAGGTCTATCAAATCATGAGTGGTGTGGAGAGGGTGAATGAAGAAAAGTTCTTCATTAGTTCCCATAATAGAAGGACTAGAGGACACCAAATGAAATGAATGGACAGCAGGTTTAAAACTAATAAGCGAAAGTTCTTCTTCACTAAGCAAATAGTCAACCTGTGGAACTCCTTGCCACAGGAGGCTGTGAAGGCTAGAACTATAACAGAGTTTAAAGAGAAATTAGATAAATTCATGGAGGTTGGGTCCATGGAATGCTATTAGCCAGGGGGTAGGAACGGTGTCCCTGGCCTCTGTTTGTGGAAGGCTGGAGATGGATGGCACGAGACAAATGGCTTGGTCATTGTCTTCGGTCCATCCCCTCTTGGGTACCTGGTGCTGGCCGCTGTCAGCAGACAGGCTACTGGGCTAGATGAGCCTTTGGTCTGACCTAGTACGGCCATTTTTATGTTCTTAACTCAGGGTCGGGGGTCTCATTGGACCAACTTGATTTTCATGCAAACCTGCTCCTGTGGTCGCATGTGGCCTTTGGTGGCCAGGCTGGCAGCTATCCTGCCCTAGACGGCCGCATTCCTGTGCCTAGTGCAGAGGTCGTGGACGTTGGAGGCCTCCCCCCAAACCTCGATGAGGTCCACGATCTCCACACTGTAGCCAGACCGGG